ATAATAATAATAATAATAATAATATTAATAATAATATGCGTGTAAGTGTAGCATACGAATATAATTGGGATTACTACATACTTTAGGAACGTATATATATATATATATATATATATATATATATATATATATATATATATATATATATATATATATATATATATACCTATTCATGTATAAATGTTGTTCAGAGGGTTCTTATCTTAATGATCAAGAGTATTAGACAATGCATTGGAAGCTTGTGGTCCACCATGCGACATGGACCAAGGTCTAGAAGGATAGTTTTAAAATGGTTTGGGGGGTCAAGATAGATTTCTTCCAAAAATATTTTTGAAGTGACCACTTGGTTTAGGTTTCATAGATTTCTCCCAGTTTCTCTTAGGTTGTCTTCTGGGTCAAAACATGGTACATATATGTATAACTATGTACTGTATATTAGAAAAAACTACGAGTATAGTATTGGGCCCAACATGTAATAGGGTTTATGACGGTATTAGGTAATAGAGTTAGGGGACAAGGATTACTACGTACCGTACATATATATGCTCCTATGTACCTATGCATTTATCTATTAATTATATATATATAATTAGGAAATAATCCAACCTTCATTTTCAAGTATAGATTGTTATTCACATATTAAACACATAAGAATTATCAAGGAAGACATACAAGCGCACAATGGATCAATAAAATGAGAAGTCAAGAAATCATCACATCGTACCAGTGGGCACGCGGTGGGCGGTCGACCGCCTGCCAGGGTCCCACTGGAACGTGACTTTGAAGAAGGAATCACTTCGGGAAAAGTCCCAAGGATGCACAAATTCAAGTCCAAATGATTCCACACTCATATGAACAACAAAAGGGACTTGAATACATGGTAAACATCAAGGAATAACATTATTATGATATCAACAAGGAACACAAAAGACTTAAACGAAAGTTCAAGACATCATAAGGATCACACATCACATTCCTCCCCTCCTAAAGAATAAATCTACGTTCCCACAACTTTCACGCAAACTGATGCAAGTACTTATCAAGCTATAAGTAAGTTAACTATCAAAATAATCGAACAATCACAATTAAGAAAAGTGAGCAATTATCGGTCAAATAAAGTCGTCACAATTGCAAGTTCCAAAATATTCCATCAAATAACAAATATCCAAGTAATGCATATTGACCAAATAATTAGGCAATAATATGCAAGTCCTTAGCCGATATATGAATGAATTAATTAGGAAGATAACCCAACTTTCATGCTTAAGCAAATAACCAAGTCCAGCATTTATTAAGAAACAGAATCAATAGCATGTTAAGGTAAATCATTAATAATCAAAGAATGATATGTGACAAAGCATGGAAAAGTATGCAAGGATATCACAACTTTGGAGCAAGCGTTTGAAACAAGCAACAAGTATAGGGAACTTAACAGAAAGCAATAAATAAACTCACAGTCTCACCGCGTGTCCTAAGATTCTTATATCCTAAGAACTTAAACACCTAGAGTTCAAGCTTAATGCCTTAAACTCTTGTCTTAAGGGCCTTATCCTAGGCTTGAACTTAGGCTTTGATACCAACTGTGACACCCCTAAATTTTAAAATATTTAAAACTTATAAAATAAAGGCCAATCTAATATTAAATCCCAAACAGAGCATAAAGGAAACATACTAGTCGGGGTGCTATGCTACATCTAGGTTTGAGAACCTAGATGCACATGCTAAACTAACCAAACAAGGCATGAACTATGACTAATATCCACAATACAATTCAAGGCTCACAAGCCATCTAACTACCAGTAAGCTAAATCCACAAGTCCATCTAACGCGCTCTGAAGCTACTGATCTGTACCTAGAAAAACATACGGTGTAACAACTGTCAGCGAATAATGCTAGTAACCCACTCCAACGTGTTAAGTACAATATAGGTAGATATAAGGAAATCATTTTGAAACAGGAATACATATATAACCTATGAGACTCTTATTTAAATCCAAGATCAAGACTCAAGACACGATAATAGACTCGACAATATAAACATAAAGGCTAGCATGCTTCCTAAGAGTACGATACAAGACATAATTGACGAATAAGTTCATAAGTAGCAAATAGAGACAACAAGGGCATTCAAAGACAATCAATTAACAAGTAATCATCAAAGCACACAATCCATCTTCAAACCTTATACCAAGTTCCAACCTTGTGGCTCCCCTCCGTCCTTATATCAGTTCCAACCTATACCTCCAGTACACCCGTATATCGCCTCCCTTATTCCTCCGGGCAACTACATGCCCCCACCGACAAACCACCTATCAACCACCAACATATCAAGATAGGGCCGCAGTGCCATTCGGATGATCAGTACCTCTAGTACCAATACCAAGGGGTCAGCGCATATAGCCCTGACATGACACCGCAACACTTATAACCTGACCCATGCTCAACGGCAAGCTAGTCGAAGGTCGGTTTGTGCCTTTAGCACAGTAACCGCTAGGCATGTACCTTTAGAACAATGACCAGGCACTCGTTGTGCCAACCACCACTAATTCATTTCCACCAATCACAATCTCAACATCATTACCATCTGTCACACCGGTCATTGCGCAATGACCACGATACTCATCATCATTCAATGAGTCAAAACATAATCAATCAATAGCAATCAAGACATAACAATAACGACACGTACTACACATGAATTACCAGAACGGTATTCAAAACATCAAACGAGACTCATACATGACAAACGGTGTACTACGGGACATAACGAAACACGAGGAAACAATAAACGTGGAAAAACACCACGACCCACATCAACTTTCCAGCGGGTTGGTGGCGGGTGGAGGACCACTCGGCAGCCACCCGCCGGCGGCCAGCCACTATTCCAACGGGTGGCCGGCGGGCAGATCACTGCCCGCTGGAACAGTATTCCCGGGCAGCGGGTAAGTGGTGGGCGGTCATCCCCCCACCTACCCCCCAATGGTACATAGACAACTTTAGGATTTGTACTTTGTTATGTATGTAACACCCCCAAATTTTAAGTATAGAAACTAAAGATTAAAAGGAAAATATTTCTGAAAATATGCGGAAGCTAAACCAACAACACGAGGTGTTATGCCACACTTGGGTTATTCTAACCCAAATGCACAGGCTACAAAGTTTCTATCTACAATCCAAATGCAAGGTTGAATAATCCAATTACAACTAACTATAAAACAGTCTAGGTTCTAATCCATTCAACTATACCATAAGCAATTCTCGGGGTACAAATTCTATTACAAGGCATACGAACTCTACACCGCGCTCTCAAAGCAAGCCACTAATTTCATCTCCTGAAAACAAAAGATTTAGGAAAAACACAAACAACAGAATTAGCATAAAATGCTAAGTAAGCTCTACTCCGCCCTGTAAAATAAATACATTTATAATTCGAAAATAGTAATACTTTGTAAATAAATTTTGAGACTTGAATAGATCACCATTTAGAAAACATTCAGTCAAGTGAATATATAGGTACATAACTACAGTAAAAATATTCTTGACTCGCACCCAAAAATAGATATTATATCCTTTCTCAAAATAGTTTTTCCCAAAAGTAGGTTAGGCACCAACGCCATACACACTCTAGTCAGAAAAATACTACATTTCATATAAGTTAATAAAGATCCAAAATAATAATACTTAGCACTTCCCAAAATTATATAACTAATACATAGTCATTCTTTCTCACTTTCAAAATAAACATAAGTATGGAGAGTTCAAAGTAAGCTTTCTCACATAATACTTTCCAATATAATAATCATTTGTATAAACCATCATCTCTCATAAGCATTTCCAAGATATACATAATAGATATGGAGGAATTCATAGCAACATATAGTTTACTCATCAAGTGCCCATCTCAAGACATAGATATTCTCAAATAATAATTTTTACTATAGACTTTCTCATAAGCCTCTCATAAACATATATATACATATATACACATATATATATATATATATATATATATATATATATATATATATATATATATATATCAATAATCATAAGTAGGGAGAAATTCAAATCATATTTCTCAAATCATTTTTCCAAGTATCACATATACATATGGAGGAATATCATAACCATCACTCACGAGATTTCACATATCCATAATCTCATATATATAAGGTGAGAGGGACGAAGGGTCTTAGATCAACTAAGCCCTAGTGACACGGCAATCCACCCTACCGGCCACTCCACAAGTTTGTCACTTTCGTGGGATAAAGGGCTAAAACCTTAAGTGTGCACACCCTCTAATGGGCTTCCCCCACCCAAAAGAGTAGTAACTAGTCCAAGTAGCCCTGGATGTTTTCTACTAGGCTACTCCACATATAATCAGTATCTAGGATGTTATCTACCAAATATAATCTCATAAAAAATAGGGCCAGAACCCACATAGGACCAAAGTCCACCATTCAACAACCATCCATCATATCCACATATCCTCCAAAAATAGATACATTTTATATATCATCCAAAAATAAGAATAGTTATCCAAAAATAGATTTTCGCAAACATTCTCATTTGCCCGTAGACTATTTAAATCATTGCTTTCAAGTAGCATGAGTATATATAACCCATCAATATCCATACTTTCGAAATTAGTTTTCAAGTCCTTAGTAGATCCAAAGCGAAGAACCTTATTAGGAAGATGCACACCATTCGAGTGCAATAGCCACAGTTCAAAATATAAATCTAAATTAATCACAATCAACTTTCAAATAACCGAATCAACATAGTCAAACAATCTTAAGGAACTCACATCTCACATCGATTTCTTAAGAAGTCCACATACTTAAAGTTTCAAACTTAGGCTTCCATTTCCAAGAATTCGAAACTTAAGATCCTATAGTCATGCTCCTACATCTTAGGGTCAAATTAGGCTCTTAAAGTCCAACTCTTAACGATCTAGAACTCTAACCTAGGGCTCTGATACCAACTGTAACACCCCCAAATTTTAAGTACAGAAACTAAAGATTAAAAGGAAAATATTTCTGAAAATATGCGGAAGCTAAACCAACAACACGAGGTGTTATGCCACACTTGGGTTATTCTAACCCAAATGCACAGGCTACAAAGTTTCTATCTACAATCCAAATACAAGGTTGAATAATCCAATTACAACTAACTATAAAACAATCTAGGTTCTAATCCATTCAACTATACCATAAGCAATTCTCGGGGTACAAATTCTATTACAAGGCATACGAACTCTACACCGTGCTCTCAAAGCAAGCCACTAATTTCATCTCCTGAAAACAAAAGATTTAGGAAATACACAAACAACAGAATTAGCATAAAATGCTAAGTAAGCTCTACTCCGCCCTGTAAAATAAATACATTTATAATTCGAAAATAGTTATACTTTGTAAATAAATTTTGAGACTTGAATAGATCACCATTTAGAAAACATTCAGTCAAGTGAATATATAGGTACATACCTATAGTAAAAATAATCTTGACTCGCACCCAAAAATAGATATTATATCCTTTCTCAACATAGTTTTTCCCAAAAGTAGGTTAGGCACCAACGCCATACACACTCTCGTCAGGAAAATACTACATTTCATACAAGTTAATAGAGATCCAAAATAATAATACTTAGCACTTCCCAAAATGGTATAACTAATACATAGTCATTCTTTCTCACTTTCAAAATAAACATAAGTATAGAGAGTTCAAAGTAAGCTTCTCACATAATACTTTACAATATAATAATCATTTGTATAAACCATCATGTTGGTCCCGAAAGGGTGGCGAGAAGTCTAGAGTGGGGGGGGGGGGGGGGGGGTGAATAGACTTCTCTAACTTTTCAAACTTTCTTCAAAAATTTACAAGGCAAATAACACTTTGATAATTTCAACTCTAAGTAACAAGCATCAACAAGATAAACAACTTAGAGCGTGTAGCGGAATAGGTAGCAGTAAAGTGTTATGCTTATAAGTGCAGTGCTCAAAGAGATATTCTAAACATGCAACACGTTAGAAACATTTGATATGGTTCAAGGATGATGTACGTAAAGTTTGGCTTGCATGCAAACGTGGGAACTATCAAACCCAGACAGATAAAGATATGCGATAAGTCGTAATCGGGTTAGTTCGCAGTTAGAATAAGCATGCACAAAATAAATGAGCAGTAAGTAAATAGAGAGAGAGATTTATAGTGGTTCAGAGGAGGTGTAATCCTCCTAGTCCACTCTTCTCCTTTCACTTCAAGGAGGAAATTCACTATTCTTCGATCATCCAGATACAATAGTGAATAAGTGTCCACGGACACTTCTCCGAGTGCTTCGCACAAAGCTACACTCCTCCAAGGTTTTTCGCAAGCTCCTCTTGTTACTCCGCCTTCCCGAGTACTTCGGACCAAGCTGTACTCCTACACCACGAGAACTGCGCACAAAGCTACGTCCTCCAAGGGTTTTCACAAGCTCCTCTTGTTACTCTGCCCTTCACCACGAGTGTTACGCACAAAGCTACACTCAACCAGGGTTTTTCACTCTCTCTAGTTACTCCGCCCTCTTTCTACGCTCAGTAGAGAATATTACAAAGAAATAAAATTTCTCTCTCACTCAGACTTGAATTTAATTCTATGAAGCTCTGTTTCCCCCTTTTTCGGCAAAAAAAAAAAAAAATAGCTTGTATCTTTTGCTTGTATGTTTTAGCCGTTGTTCAAGTTATTGAACTGCTCAATCTCTTGGGGTTTTTCTTGCTTAACTGCTCTCTTCTACTTGTCTTCAAGTCTGCTTGGACAATTTATAGCTAGTAAAAGCTATTTGCCCGTTGATCAACTTTCGATCTCGATCGTCCATTTGAATTGTAGTTGATCAAAAGATATTGTCAACTTGATCTGAAATATTAGGTAGATGTCTTTTCTCCTTTTGTCAGATGATTTGAATAATTTGCCCGTTGCCGTTTCTTGAATTTTGTAGCCTCCAGATTTTGAATAAATTCGGCGCGGCAATCTTTGACATTTCTGGTCCTTCATATATACTCTGACATGTCAAGTTGATCAAATAATTTATCTGCTGATTCTTGCTTGAGTATAAAATAATTTCTCCGCGAATCAGCCTTCTTTGAGCGTCTCCGGTTCCACCGTAAAAACTTGATGTTCAGATTAAAATATATCAGTTATTTTGTCCTTCATGATCCTTGTAAAATAATATACTGGAACCTCTGTAAAAACTTCACAGTTGTTCATGGTGAGATGCTCTGTTTCGAATTTCTAGCTTGGTTCACCATACTTGGTGTGTTTTTCCATATGGTGCATGGCTTTTGTGAGACTTGAGCATTTCACTTAGTCTCCATATTCTTAGCTAGTCTCCAATACACTCAGGCTAGTCTCTCATACGGTTTGGTATACTTTGAGCTAGTCTCCCATACGGTATACGGTCCAATATACTTGACCTTGAGCTAGTTTCCCATACGGTCAGAGCTAGCATACGGTCCAAGCTAGTCTCTCATACGGTCCAAGCTAGTCTCTCATACGGTCCAAGCTAGTCTCCCAAGCTTAAAAATGCTTCACTTGAGATTCAAACTTAGGATCGTTTAGCATAGCTCACACGCATTTCTTCCAACTCCTCTAGCATGGTTCTTGGTGACTTATCTGCATCATAATTGTGTTAAGCTATAATCCCGCTTAACATCTAAAATCAACATGTGATTTTCCAGACTTGTACATGGGTTGCATGATATGGGTGCACCATACTCCGTAGACTCAAACTGACTCAAATAGAATAAAAATGGGGACTACTTGATTTTTCAAAAATACATTTGGCTCATCAAAATTTACAATATATTCCTAACAATTTCCCCCTTTTTGATGATGCCGAACCTTATACCCTAGTCATTTTGGCTTTGTCAATTTTGAAAAATAATTTCTTTTATTCGATTTTATTTCGACTAGCCAATTGACGGGTTTGACAAAAATTGAGACCTAGAGATTTTAAATTTTGGACGGTCCTAAACGTATATTGAGACTATAACGCGGGGTTGCGTATTGATTTTTATCTTTTAATTTTTCTTCCCCCTTTCAATTTTATTTTCTCAATTATACGCATCACATGCAATTACTAAGTCCAATTTTAAAATCTTGTGACATAAAAACACAAAATAAATTAACTAGGACTTACTTCATATGGTAGGAAATATTGTCATCATGCAATTTCAACTCATTTTAGCTAGCATATATAAGATGTCGAATGAAATGTGCTAGCTAAAATAAATTATACACCAAAAATTGATTTGTCAATCAAACTTGTTACCTCCCTTTCAACTTGGCATTGATGAAGTCTCTCAACTTCTTGAAATCCTTCTCGAGGTCCTTGTGTTGATACGGTGCGGCAACTTGTCCGGTGATGTAGTTGCCATAAGCCTCTCTTATATTATCTCCTTTCAACACTCCGGCTTCATGCCAAAAGATGCATTCGTCAAGTGTTCGGCCATCACTCATTTGGTCATTCCGGTGTCCGAACTCCGTTTGAAGCTCTTGCAATTTTTGTATCCTTGTTGCAATTGGCTTCGGCATTGGAGCAACCGGCATCGGTGGCAACACTCCTAGAGATGTAGAACTTGGGCTCGGACAAGTTCCTCTAAGGTAATCAATCATACTTACACGGCTTGGAGCTCTTGGTGGTGTTGGTCGAATTAGTTTAACCATTGGTTCTCTTGGAGCTCTTGGTTGTGTGTACGCATAAGCTTGTGGCACAAAATGACGTGCCAATCCTTCCCCCTTTTCGGCAGCATCTATGAATCGTTGAAAGCTCTTGGTGGAAGAATCTTGCATGTCACGCACTCCCTCTAGAAGATCCATGTGAATACGCGATTGAGTTAGTAAACCTTGCACTTGTTGTTCCAAAAGTTTGAGCCTCGACGTAGTATCGGACCCATGCTTTCCCATTTCATTGAACAACTTCATCACATCTTTCTTCAATTCATCTTTGGCCGTGTCAATTTCGGTTTTTAATAGGCCTTGCCAATTAAACAATTGTTGAGCACGATCCACTATCTCCTTGTGATAATCATCAAGTTTTTTGTCCATTGCCTCCATCTTTGTTCTCAATCCACCCGTAGATTCTTGTACAATGGCCTTAACATCTCCAACAATATCGTCTCTTAAGGCTTGAGTATTGATCAAGGGTTCATGTTGCACGGGTGGGGTTGGAATTGGCAAAGGGTGTGCAAAATCATCTCTTGGTGTGGTGATCATTGTATCAACAAGGTTGGGTTCGGCTTCCTCGGTGTTGTAGCAAAGAAGCAATGTTGATCTATTTCTTGGATGATCTTGGTCATAAAACTCATAGGAAGATGGCAAATTAGGCAAATTCCTTGTTTCATCCAAGTTCAAAGAAACCCCTTGACTTGGTGCATTTCCTTCTTCACGAATAGACTCCGCAACCTCCGTTACGGGATGTGGAAAGTAAGATTCAAAGCTCAAATTTTCATTCAAATTTTCATCTCCAAAATTTGCAGGATATGGATCAAATGCCATGATCTCTACACCATCATTTCTCGCCAAAGATCCCTCTCCGGGTCTTCTTCGGGTATCTTCTAAAGACATAGCGGTGGCACGGCGAATATCATTTGAATCAAACTCTCCTAAAGGCTCTTCGGTTGTGGCTTCAACCATCACTCCCTTTTCGGTTCTCTTCTTCCTAGCAAGCTTAGTCAAAAAGTGAGATTTAATCACCGAAAGTCGGGTAGCTCTAGCAAGATCCCGTGTGCCTAGCCAGTTCAACACCATTTCTTCCATTTTCATGGTATTCGGCCCTATTGATTCGGCTAGCAAGCTGTGATCCCCTAATCTCCATGCTCTCCATTCTAGTGCTCTTTTATACTCCTCCAAAAGTGCACTATCCGCCCCAATTGTTGATATTTCATCATCACTTCCAACTTCAACTTGATCATTCACAACATCATCCACTTCAACTCTATTTTCCTCAACAAACCCGTGGCTCTCAAGGATAATTGGGTTCGGGTTTTGAGTGGTTAAGGGTCTTGAGATTGGGTGGCTATTTTGCTCTTCATTTGATCGAACGACATGGGTGTTTGAACCTTCATGACTTGGCTCTCGGATATATTGTTCAAGGTTTTGGAAGGGGTTGGACAATTTTCTTTTTCGGGTGGGTTTTGGTAGGCTTGTGGGTAAGGTAGGATTTTTAGGTTCATTGGAGTTGGGTGGCCGAAAGAGGTAGCTATGGTTTGTAATATGCTTGGCTTTGGTAAGGGTGACATTCTTGGTTCTCAAAATCTCACCA